CCTCTCAGACGGTAGCCCTCAATCCTCTGAGCAATCTCCACTACCAGCTGATAAGGAGTCTCCATCTCCACCTCTCAGGCCATGTTGGCCCTAATACCAGAATGCAACCCTACAACAAACCTCTGCACTCTCTCTGCGTCAGTAGGAAGTATCATCAGTGCATGGCGGGACAACTCAGAAAACCTCACCTCATAATCGGGCACTGACATCTGACCCTGCTCAAGCTGCTCAAACTGATACCGCAACTCTTCCCTCTCAGAGGGTGGAATATACCTATCCAAGAAAAGTTGTGTGAACTGTCCCCAAGTAATGGGAGGAGAACCCGCTGGCTTGCCAAGAACATAAGACTGCCACCATTTGCGGACCCTGCCCTCCAGCTGGAAAGTAGTAAAGTCAACCCCATGAGACTCCAATGTGCTCATGTCGTGCAGTTTGTCCCTGTACCTATCGATGAAATCCAGGGCATCCTCATGACGCTCGCCCCCAAAAATAGGAGGGTGTAGTCTAGTCCATCTGTCCAATAACTTCTGCGGATTGCCGTCGCAGCTGGCCTGGGCTCGGGTACCACTACGACAACTAGCTGGGCCCCATCCGCGGGTAGTGCACTCGGAGTCTGATACACTGCAGCTGCATGACTAGGAGCCTGAGCAGTAGGGGTCTGTGCTCCCCCTGCCACCTGAGATGTGGCTGGGTCTGCTGGAAATAAACCAGCCTGGGTCATAGAATCCATGAACCGCAGCATACGGCCCATGACCTCCTGAAAGCCCGGTGTTGTCATGAAGTCCACCGGGGTAGGCTCTGCTGCGGGCACCTCGCCCTACTCGTCGATAATAGGATCCTCCGCAGGATCCGTCGGTGGTGCAACTGGGGCAGCTATGGGACGCCCTCGTCCCCTTCTTCAGGCCGGTGCCCTCCCCCGGCCTCTACCTCGGCCTCTAGCAACGGGGGGAGCAGCGCCTCCCAGGTCTAGAACGTCTGCCGTGCGCGTCCTCACCATCTGTGAGAGAATAGAAGAAGGAAACTTGTATACCATCAACTACACGATAGAAGATGAATAAAGAGTAGTTTCCTATTCCCCTATAGCCTCTCGAAGATAAATACAGACGTCTCTGTACCGATCCGCAAGACTCTATTTGCCCATGACTTGTGAGACCTACGTGAACCTAGTGCTCTGATACCATGTTGTCACGACCCAATTTCCATTATAGGTCGTGATGGCGTCTAACATCGTTGTTAGACAAGCCAACCCTAATCAACTAGTGAGTTCTCATTCTTTTAAATAATCATTCTCGACATTTACTTAACTTAAATTCAAAACAATCGATAATTAACAAATTATAAGGCGACTGAATCGGGAAAGACTAAAAGGGATCATAGTAATATGAATACAACCCAAAAATAATAGTCTACTATTGTGTGTGCCAGGAATTAGTGTCACAAGTACGAGGGCAGCTAGTAGATGTACAAAAGAATAGACAATAATAACAAAAGGAGAGACTCCGGTATGCTGCTGAACGGCTCGGAAGAGGGCAGCTCACCGTAAGATCTCGATCAAGTATCAGGGATGCGCGCCGGACGGGTAGCCAGATTCACCTGCCTCAGATCTTGTACATTTAAGTACATAAGCGTACTATGAGTACATAATACCCAGTAAGTATCCAGTCTAACCTCGAAGAAGTAGTGACGAGGGGTCGACTTGACACTTATTAGGGTCTATATTAATATAATTCAAGTGTTACGCTAAGCATGGATAGCATGAATAATAATGACAGATTAAGATCATGGAGAAATAACACATTCTTTCATAAACAACATGTCAAGTTTCAATTACATGTAACAGCTTACCTTTCAAACATTTAAGCAGTGAAATCACGGGTTGCAAATAAATAACATGCACATATTATGCCGAGGTTGTACGGCCCGGTCCAACATATTATTAAACGGTGCACTGCTAGAGGATCGAATGGCGCGAACCATATATGCATCTATTTACTACCGAGGCGATCGGCCCAATCCACAAATAGCAATTTATTATCAAGTAAGCATAGATTTCTCATTTATAGTCAAATGATTCATACAAGTTCTCAAGTAAGTGAGTATAGACGTCTATATTTTATTTACCAATTTCTATCATGACCCTAATTGATCTTAGTAACAAGCAAGGACGCAAGCATTTGCAAGTATAGCATGATACTGGTCCTAAACTACCCGGACAATTAGCATAATAGTAACTACGTACGGACTCTCGTCACCACGTACGTACGTATCCCCCACAGATAGTCACATATATTTATTTAATTCACCTATGGGGTTAATTCCCTCTTACAAGGTTAGAAAAGAGACTTACCTTTTCCCAAAGCTTACTTTAAATTTCAAGAATGCGCTCAAACCCTCAAATCGGAGCCGAACGATCCAAAACTATTCAAATGGGGTAAGAACTAGTCAATATATGCTCAAGAGTTTATATTCTAACTATTACACTAATTTCCCAACTCTAAATGCAAGGTTTCTATAATTCCCCCCCCCCCTACCCCCCCCCCACGTGCCCGAATTTTGAAATTTTTTGAAGAAAGTTGTTACCCATAACCTAAAGATCAAGAATATATAATTTCTACTATATTCCATAACAAATTTCGTGGTTAAATCTCATTTTTGTCAAAATCCTAGGTCTTACTCTAAACCCATAATTTCCACTAATTTACATGGTGTAATCTATCCATAAACTATGTATTAAACTCACATTAAGTAGAATTAACATACCTCACAATCTAGGTTGAAATATCCCCTTTTGAAGCTCCCAAATCGCCCAAGAATAGAGTGAAATGTGTCAAAAATGACACATTCCTATATTAAATGAAGGACACTGCCTTCAGTGATTTCCGCACCTGCGGTTAGGGGACCGCATCTGCGGTCTCGCTTCTGCGTGAGATCGCTCGCTTCTGCGGTATTGGGCCGGGCAGCTGGGGCCGCATCTGCGGTCTTGGGACTGCTTCTCAGGTTCTGCTTCTGAGGAAGAGGAGCCACATCTGTGGAACCTCGGCTCCTCCCCTTGAGCCGCATCTGCGATGGGTAAGCCGCTTCTACGGTCTTGCACCTGCGGCTGGCCAACCGCAGGTGCCGTTATGACAGAACTGGAGCTTCAGCTCCTTCTCAAATTTCAACTTAGCTCGAGCCTCGTCCGATTGATGCTCAGGGCCCCCGAGGTCCCGCCCGAACATACCGACAAGTTTGGAATCATAAAACGGACTCGCTCGAACCCTTAGAACGCCCAAATAAATTCCAGTCCGCGCACCATTCGCTTCCAAGAGGGTGTCACGTTACAGTGGAACATAGTTCACTGTGAGGTACTCCGCAGTCAAATCATCAAGCTCACATTTGGTAATTCAAATGTAAAAAACTTTCAAGGGACAGAGCGACGGGGCCAGACGAAATCCCAGTGGAGTTTTGGAAGAACGCGGGTCGAGCAGGCTTGGTGTGGCTCACCGGGTTGTTTAATATTATTTTTAAGACAAAAATGATGCCCGAGGAATGGAGGTGGAGTACGATGGTTCCGTTGTACAAGAACAAGTGATATCCAAAATTGCAACAATTATAGGGGTATAAAGCTGTTGAGCCACACTATGAAGATTTGGGAGAGGGTGGTGGAAGTCAGGATGAGGAGGAGCGTATCTACTTCAGAGAATCAGTTCAGATTCATGCCAGGGCGCTTGACTACGGAAGCTATTCATTTGGTGAGGAGATTAGTGGAGCAGTATAGGGAAAGGAAAAAGGACTTGCATATGGTGTTTATCGACCTTGAAAAAGTGTACAATAAAGTGCCGAGAGAAGTTTTGTGGAGGTGGCTGGAGGTTAGCGGCATTCCGGTAGCGTACACTAGGGTGATTAAGGATATGTACGATGGTGCTAAGACTCGGGTGAGGACGGCGGGAGGGGACTCGGAGCACTTTCCAGTTGTGATGGGGCTGCACCAAGGATCAGCTCTTAGCCCGTTTTTATTTGCCTTCGATAGACATGCTGACGCGGTACATACAGGGAGAAGTGCCGTGGTGCATGCTATTTGCTGATGATATAGTGTTGATCGACGAGACGTGGAGTGGGGTCAACGCAATGTTGGAGGTATGGAGGCAGACCTTGGAGTCTAAAGGTTACAAGTTGAGCAGGACTAAAACAGAATACTTAGGAGAGCAAATTCAGTGACAGGGCTCAGGAGTCACACGTGGATGTGAAGCTTGATACTCAAGTTATCTCCAAGAAAGGTAGTTTCAACTATCTCGGGTCTATTATCCAGGGTAACGGGGAGATTGACGAGGATGTCGCACATCGTATTGGAGTGGGAAGGATGAAATGGAGGCTTGCGTACGGCGTCTTATGTGATTGGAATGTGCCGCCGAGACTTAAAGGTAAAGTGGTGGTCCGACCAACTATTCTATATGGGGCGGAGTGTTGGCCAATTAAGAACTCACATGTGCAGAAGATAGCAGAAATGAAGATGTTTAGATGGATGAGTGGGTATACCAAGAGAGATAAGATTAGGAACGAAACTATTCGGGACAAAATGGTAGCGGCCTCCATGGAGGACAAGGAGCGAGAGTCGAAACTGAGATAGTTCGGGCACGTAAAGAGGAAAAGCATTGATTGCTCCTGTCATGAGATGTGAGAGGCTGAACCCGATATAAAGAAAAGGTTACTTGATAATTTGTAGTACCACACAAACCAACTTGTGCAAGACCAAAGGTTTAATGAGCTGAACTCGATATAAAGAAAAGGTTGAAACTTTACTCCATTTGCGGTGTTTTCCTCTTTTTTCGGCTTTAAACTTGTAATATGCGGTGTTGGACTACTCGTGGGACTAAAAGTTAAAGCTCTTTTCGTCCTTTGTCTTATTTTTTACAGCAGAAACTTAACAATTCTTGATCATTAATTTGATGTTTCGTGTCCCTTATAGTGAAGAGAAGCTTTGTACAGGCAAAGAGGTGGCGTGGAAGATGATTGTAGTGAGTTGTAGGGAAAATGGTTTGTTGGTTTTGTTGCTGAAATGATGATGATGCTCCACTCACTCTTTTCGCACAAGATTTTTGTGTTTTATGTATTTTGTTTGTACACGTGACGTCTACACCATTCTGTCGTTTAGCACTGCTGGGTCTTTTGTTGGAATTTGGTTGCGTTTAACTCCTGTTTTCTTCTTCATAAATGACCGCTCTTATGTAAAAATAAAAAATAAAAACATTAAATTGGTTGTAGAATTTGAAGGGGTTCACATTTCACTCTCTCTCACTCTCTCTCTCTGCTCTCTTGATCTGTGCTCTCTTGATCTCTGGTAATACATTCATCTTCTTGATTTTTCAGAATTTTTATTTCTGCTGTACTTTCACTCTCTCTATTTATTAAACCTTCTTAGTCTTTTCACTGTTCCATTGCTTTCCTCTTTTAACTTTTACCTGTGATCAAATTTTGCCCTATAAAGATCCCATTTTTATGCTCACAGGCTATTTCCCTTTGATGTGATTCACTTTTTTCTGTTCTAGGGGTTATAGCCGTCCTTTATTCTGTGTTTGGAGAAGAAAGAGTTTACAAATTTAGATTATTTATTTCTTCTGTTATGAGCTTCTCTGATTGGGAATTGATCTATTTCATATCATTTTTTCATGAGTTCAATTAGTTGCTACTTGTTTCTTATTCTTTCCTTTCCCTTTGTGTTTCCTCAAATGTGTGGGACTCATTAAAGTTGCTATCTTGTTGCTTTCTCATTTATTCCAGGTTCTCTTCACTGTAATGACTCCTACTTGTTTGGGTTCCTAAGTAAGTGAACCAACCAAATCTTGATGGATTCTGGTCAGTAATTAAGAGCCTTGATTTTGTGAAGGAATGGAGAATTCACATGAGAATGGAAATGGAGTGATGGCTGAAAATGGCCACAGCCTTATGAGGCACTCTTCTTATCAGTCTGGATTTAAGCTATCTTTACAGTGGTTAGATTTGAAAGTTTTTTACATTAGAATTACCAAATGTGAGCTTGATGATTTGACCGCGGAGTATCTCACAGTGAACTATGTTCCACTGAAACGTGACACCCTTTTGGAAGTGAATGGCGCGCGGACTGGAATCCATTCGGATGGTGTATCCACTATACTTAGAAGAGATAGGTTTGATAAGAAATCCGAGGAGGTTACTTTTGTTAGTACTGATAGTATTAGTATGACAGGAAGTGTGAAATATGAGGTTTTCGATAGGGATGTTCTCGTGTTGTCTGGTTCATTAGACTTATGCGATAGCAATGGATTTTTAAGTGAATCTGAAAATCATGGACAATCTTGGAACATCAATTGTGAAATGGATGTGTTTGCTGGCTCTGGCTTGCAAAAAGGAAACCAACACACGGCCACGGATTTGGCTTCTCCTGTAATTGAAGTTTATATAGCTGGTTGCTTCTCAGGGAAACCAATTATACTAACAAGGGCCCTGCAACTCGGCCATCGGAGGAAGCAATTAAGGCCGGGAATGTTGGAATCAATACCGGAATATGAGGCAACTGAAAGCCAGTACCATGCTTCCTCTTCACATGCAATGCAGGTATACTACTGGTTATGGTGATTGACACCCCTTCATCGGAAAAATACATTGTTTAGATAAGTAAAAGCTATTTTTATATATATATGTATATACTGTATTGAATTCGCTTGATTTGTTCGTGTATTTACTTCTTTAAATTTTGATACCTTTTAGCGAAATCCTGAATCCGCTATTGGTTATTGATGTTTATACCTATACAAAATCTACAACTCTATTAGCAAATTTTACCCTTCTGCCAAATAATTTTTTTTGTCTTTTGGTTGAACTGCTACTCCATATTTGCTGCAGTAGCTTTTAGCTTCTCTGTAATTGCTGCCCAAATATTTTCTTATCTTGTGCTGTCAGTACTTAGGCCCAACCAATAATGCTTGAGAACCATGAGCAAACTTATCCTGAACTCTTGGGAAACAAAGGATACAGTATGCTCAGAAAAATATATGTATTTGTGCATGCACGCATGGACACACATGTCTTACCTTTTCGTTTTGTGTGTCAATGCTTTTGTTTTCTAACCAGGATACCATAGGGTGAAATGAAATAAAAATTTGCCCTGCTATCTTGCATGTGCTAGCAGTTAAGATGGTATATGTTAGTATTTGACTCCAAACTATAGTAAATATAGTATTACAACAACAAACCCAGTATATTCCCACAGGTGGGGTCTGGAGAGGGTAGTGTGTACGCAGACCTACCTCTACCTAGTGAAGATAGAGAGGTTGTTTCCAATAGACCCTCGGTTCAGAGAAAATATAGTAAATATCGTAAAGGCAGATATCTTATTTACCTGTGTAAGGAACTTGGCACCCATCATACCATAATTTTCCAGTTGCCAGGACTCTTCCCATCATCACATGATAAATTCAGGATTGCAATTTATGAACATAGAGAGAAATGGGTGTCAAAAACAGTAAACACATTGTTTCTGTCGATAACAACTGGCTAAAGAAACATGTACCTGGTTGAAGGCAGAGTTGCAATCTGCATATATACTAGAAGACTTCAATGCACTTCTTTTTTGCATAATTTGCGGATCAAATCTCAATGAACTTCCAACTGAAGTATTCCCTCTATAGGAATAGATGAACTTCTTAGAATTTGCAATGCCTGGAGGCATTACTGAGCTTTCTTTATGTGTGGGAGCCGGTTATCCGTTTATCTGATCTGCAATATGGGATTTTTAATCTTCTGCAAATGAGTTTTTCGACAACAGAAGTTAAATCCATTTTTGGTGTTTCTTCCACTTGAAATCTTTGTCTTCCCCCGTTGATCCTCTGGCTTACTTTGTTGGTAGCCTGTGATTATGGAAAAGTCTAGCAAGCAACACTGATTTAGTTTTGCTCCATCGCTCTCTTTTATGAGCAAGTTTTCACCAGTGTTGCCAACAATGCATGTGCAGGTTACAGATCATGCAAAACTCAAACAGGAGCATGATGAATATAACAACCTTTACTCTAGGATGGAATATATAGAAGGTGAAGATGGGGAACTATCCTGGTTCAATGCTGGTGTAAGAGTAGGTGTTGGAATCGGCCTCAGTATCTGTGTTGGAATCGGTATAGGAGCGGGACTACTTGCTCGTACTTATCAAGGAACCACCAGAAACTTCAGAAGGCGTCTACTTTGACGACTCAGACCTGTTTTAACTGCTATGACTCTAATGCCACCTATCTATCCCAAATACCTGCTAACTTCTTGATTGACTCACCTTCTCTGAAAATAAATGCTAATGATGCAAGCTGATAGGATCCTCTTGTGAGAGAAATAGCCTGGTTTTTTACATTTCTTCCTAAACTGATCGTCTATAAATAACTCGCAGCAGTAGCTAGCTCTGGACATCGAATAAAACTTGAGTCTTGTGTACTTGAGCTGCAGGAGAGTTAAATGACCTCGTTGCTAACAACGGATAGTCGTTAGAACAGTCTTTCTATATTTCTCACAGGTCCTTGTCCATTTTTCTTTTTCTTTCAGTAATTGTTAGGTCTTCTAATGGCATTGTAATAGGTTAGATGTATCTGTGAACGTTTCGTCCGTTCAAAGGTGTTAATCTAGTTCATGTTTATGCGAATTGGATAGTATAACTGTTTACAAATTGCATAAGGGAGTAACTTTTTATGTTTCGTTCCTTTTTTATCCTTCTGATCTTGCGGCAGACCTTATTGTACTTTTCAGCTTCATGTTCCCTTTGTTGTTCTTGTAGTGACTGAATTTTGGCTTATGACTGCGAAGCCTGTCTTTTGCGCTTTTGACGGGTGTCTAAATTTGTATGTCATATATACATTGAACCTATTTAAGCACCAATTGTATTTGAAACGATGTGTGCCAAAACTGATTAACGTGCCTCGTGTCTTACCAGCTACTTAAGCTTGTAGATTCTGAAACTTTGTATTGAATTTTATCTGGTCATCTACTTTTCCACTTGAGCTAAAATGTTAAATAACTGCTCGAGCTTGAAGTTTAAACTATCAAGTAAATGACCCGCTTTTTCCGTGGAAATTAAATTATGATCCATGTTGGACGATTTTCATGACCCAACCAAGAAAACCTCGAGTCATCAACAAGAACTTGTGAATAGTTTTGAAAAGATGTTCGCCATTGATAAATGTAATGTAACAAGTCAGGGAATATAATCCCGGCAAGCGGATCAATTTTAACTGAGTAAAAAATGAGAAAGAATCTGGATATTAAAAGATATAGAAAGGGCAGATTTCATACGGCATAGAATTTATATACAAGCTGGTCATTCTCTTTAAAACTGGTTCTTACAGTCAAGGATAGCACAGCACCAAGTAACCAACCCATGAGTCGTGCAATCTACATTACTTCTGGTACAAAGGCGAGGGAATACCGTTTTATATACACATAGCAGTGTTTTGGAATGGAGACTCTAGTATGCAAACATTAGTCACCGAAAAGTCCATGTTTATCCATCAAATCATCAACACTTGGAAGACCATCACATATCAAGATTGTCTACATGGTGGAATCTATTTGCTCGTCGGAACCAGGTGGTAAATGCACCGACCAAGTGAGGACAGTCATCAACATTCCTAGTTGAAAAGCTGAGACACTGCTGCAATAACAACTGGGCATCAGGCAAGGTAAGTGTGGATATAATCCTCAAAAACGTGTCTTCCAGCTCCACATATACTGTTTTGTGACTCGGCATCATAGGTGTTACGTTGTCTTTGCACAAAATCAACACTGGAAGCCAATCTTTCACAAGCTTCATTCTTACCTGTTAGACTTAAGTGCATTAGAGTAATGAAGTAAAGCAGAAGCCATCGAGGAAAGAGTCGCTGTTTATCAGTGAAGAACAACATTCACTCGACCAAGTGATAAACACCAGAACAGACACAGCAGCAAAAAATCAAACTGCGCTGTTATTGTAGAATGCCCATCTTTCTGATTATGAATCAGTACATCTTTAAGACAGATCAATCATTTTAACAGTCAATCAAAACAGGGACATAGAAGGAGCAAATCATGTCCATACTCAATACCATTTCTTTGAAACATCCAAAAGTCTAACTAACACAGAAGACATGTCAGAACATCTAACAGTCAATCACCATTTGGATAAAGACCCATGAGACATGAAGTTAGATATTGCAAATGGACGGGAAAGGTTATAATTGAAGTCCCACTGTTATTTGCTTTTATAAATTATATAAGTCAAAATAGCAGAAAGCATGAGAAAGCTAGTAAACAGTAAGACAAAATCTCAGTGCTATTCGCTCCCAGAAGTATCCTTTGTTAATTCAGGAATATGTTCAAGTGTAAGATGCTACTAAGTCTTAAAGGTGTCTATGCGTGTTAATACTCCCTAATTTAGCATTAGTGAACAAGAACGTATCAAAAAACATAACGCCTAAAGCCCTCACAGCCCACACAATTAACAGGTGTGTTTCCTAGACTCTATGCTTTGGAATTACACACAACAGAAAGAATCATTTATTAAACTATGAAAATAAAAATGGACCTGTCTAGTAGCCAAGATAGTTCCTGCGGCGACTGCATTAGCAAGCTTGCAAGTGCACCGAAGCACAACCGCAGGGAGCCCAGGTACGATATTCCTCCATGCATCATCACGGAGAGCCCTCAGCAAATCAGCAGTAAAGGAGGCCTGATTGCTCCACTCTTGTACAGCTGCATCAGCCACTCTCAGTTCAATCATCCTCTCCAGCAACCACAGCAAATGCCTCCCATTTGTCATCGCAGTATGCAAATTCAACCTCTGAATTGCCTCAGTCTCATTATGATCACCTCTAAAATCAGGACTCGAATAATCCTCCAATGACTCCTTCACTATCTTCAAGCTACTCATAAAGGCACGGTCCAACACTCTCTTTGCTGCCTCTTTGGATGAAAAATCCCTCAAAAGTTTTGCTACAAAGGCCTTAGCAAATGCCATGTTCGGATGGTTATGAAGTGCCGATAATATCAATCCATGAAGCATTTCTTCAGACGAATTGTTCTCATCAGTCGAAACCCTAGCGAGAAGCTCTTGAGATTCCTCCTTGCCTAAAAACGGAGCAAAATTGAGTATTTTCCTTTCTTCATCTTCGGTCCACGGTACGGCCTCCAGGAACCTTACACAAGCCTTAATGCAATCCTCGAATATTAGTTCCAAAGCCACCGGAAGTAAACACAAAGCTATTGAAACAGTATTGATAGTTGTGGAGAAGTCATTGGTGTATAGGAGCTGAAGAACAGTTAAATGATGATCGATTGATCCAGGAGTAGACGGAACACCGAGATTAAGCCGGAAGGTTCTAGAAGAGTTTCCTGAATCAACTACGTCGTTTGATTCCTTTTGCCAGCGATCAGATAAGAGAGCAGCGAAGTACTTACAGCGGCGGAGAATATCGGAGTGGAGATAGATCTGAACATCGGATTGATCAGAATCAACGGCTGAGATTGATTCAGAGTCGTCGGTATCGAACAGCGGCAATTGATCGACGAAGAGACGAAGCACGACGTCAGCCGTAGATGAATCGTTGAATCCGCCGCTAGCAGCCGCTGCAGCACCGGCGGCGGTCGAAAACGATGGAATAACGGTGTGAGAAGATGTCCGGCGAATACCTGACGGCTTCTGAGAGCGTTCCGTTAGGGTATTATCAGGGCGTGAAGAGTCAATGATTCCGATTGTTGAGGAAAGTCGGCTATTGCTACCTACACGATGTCGTTTTTTGCCGGAGGTTACTCCGCCGGCACCACCACCACCGCCTACCGTCATTCTGCTAGAGGTTCTTCTGAATTCTGATGAAGACGAAGTGTCAGATAGGGACGAACGGGATATTGTTTAGAACAGTGTGTTGTGTTGTACATTTTCAATTTAAAATCTTACATTTGGCAAAAGAATCTCCACAATTTTTTTTAATTAAGAACTACTAAACTTGAATTAGTGGTTTGAGATGGCGGATTTGGTTTATGGTGAGACAAGTGGATAACATCGAACTGATCTGACGTGTCCAGGGCCCATCTTCTGATAATACCCCCTTTTAAATTGGGAATTTTTACATTCTTATGCCATATAGGAAACTATATTACCCTCAATGTTTAAGGTTTGATATAATTACATTTAGTATACCTAATTACCAATTCTATACCATAAGGTGTTTTAATTGTACATTAATTGTACCTTATATCACTCCTAAATTTATGGTACCGTATATTCCTCCAAATCCCCATCCCCCACGCTTCTCTCTCCCAATCCCACACCATCACCCACGTATACCACATACCCAGAAACCAGAAAAATCAGAAAAACAATTGAAACCCTCTGCTAAATCCAGAAAAACAATTGAAACCCTCTACCATTAACGTCCAAAATCAAGGTTTTTTCTTCTACAGCCAGTCAAAATTGAAGTCAAATCTTCAAAGTTTCATACACAGCAATAACTTTTGATGGTTATGATTTCGGGTTCCTTCAGTAATATAAGAGGAAAGGAAAAGAGAGCAGCAATTCCACCATTGACAGCCCTTAAAAAGCTTTGAAGCTTTGAATTCAAATTTGGGTTTTCAAAAATCATTATTTGTTTGGATTGGGAGTTGTTGTAAATAATTGGGAATATGGTTTGGAGTTTATATCTCAATTTTGAGGGGTTTTGGTGAAGATTAGACTTGGTTTTGGCTGAATTTCATATTGAAATTCGAAGAATAAGAAGAAGACGTATATTGTAGAAATTGTAGAAAAATTGTAGATAAATTGTAAAAAAATTGTAGATTGTTGTTTATTTATTTTTGAGCTTTGTGTTTTTGTGTTAAAAGTTTTGATGGGAGCTTGTTATTCCACTTCGTCTGTTTTGAGCTAACTTGTGCAGAGGAGAAGATGTTTTTTAAGTTATATATATTGCTAAAACTTTAAATTCAAGAAAGTATGGTTGTATTGTATTTAAAGAGACGGGAATTTGTAAAATAGGTTGAATGTGAGGAATGAGTCAAATAAGACTCACAATGGCTTATTTTCTACATTTAATCTACAACAAAACTACATATCATTTGAAAAATTAATATGAAAATACAGAATTTCAATGTTTCTACAAATTATCTACAAAATTTCTTAAGAATATCTATCCCTTCATCATGTTTTTTTGGATTCCATATTTAGCATAGCAGTTTCGTAAGGAGTAACAAGAGCATATTGGAGAATCACATAATTGTAGCATAATCGGAATTTTCGACATAATTGCGTTTTTTGCAGAAGATTTGTAGAAGTTTTAGTCGTTTTTGATTTATGAAAACAGAAAACAAAGCATCTACAATCAGAATACAAATAATTTACAATTTATCGATAAAATATCTACAAACTGGGTACATTGAATTTTAATATCCCAATTCCCATTCAATTGTAGCATAATTGGGATTTTTGACATAATTGCATTTTTTCAGAAGATTTGTAGAAGTTTTAGTCATTTTTTATTTGTGAAAACAGAAAATAAAGCATCTACAATCAGAATACAAATAATCTACAATTTATCTACAAAATATCTACAAATTGGGTACATATTTGGACTCAACATGCTTCCCCTGAAATGTATGTTTCACATTTTTTATACATATTTTTGTCCAAAACAGTACTAAATCATCCACTTAAATATAATTTTTATACAATGTTGTTCAACTTTCATACAATAAGTAAATGAATAAAAGAAAAATAAATAAACAA